CAAAGATGTAAGGTTGCAAATAGCCTAAATCCAAGTAGGTCTTTTTGACTTCAGTGCTGTCAAATCAGGTTACTGTTTTGTTGTGCCTGATTGCAATGTACAGTGAAGAGGCCAACAAGCCATGCCATGCTGAGCTGGGTGTTCAGAGATAATTCTTGTATGCCCAGTGATCACCATAGAGTTGCCATACAGGTGGGCAAGTTTGGCAAGGCAGCCATATTTAAATTTTTTTTTAATCTCAGAAACTTAATTATAAAACAAAACACTCAATCAGCAGGGATCCTGGAATTCCACATTTTTTTTTGTTTTGTCGAATGGGTAAATTCTCCAAAGATCAAGCTATTATAACTTCATTTTGATTTAGTATGCCAAAAGATATTTGGTACAGTATTCAGTGATTTTATCTGTTAAGGCTTGAGTTTTTTCATTATTCACTTCATGCATTCATTTTCAAGGGGTTCAACGTATTTCCATTCATCTGTTGCACAGACAGCCCTGCGCGGGCTTTGATAAGGAACTGCAAACAATACAATGGACAACTCGGCTGTGACTGGTGTGTACAAAATTTGTTTGGTGCCTAAAACATTGTGTTGGAAGAAAAAAATACATTGTCAACAATTATTCTTTATTTTTTGATGCATGTTTTTGTTCAGGACTGATTGAATTCAACAAAGTATATGTAAAACCTTCTTTTGTACTTACATATATATTTTTAATTTTACAGATTTACAGTTAGGTGTATCAAGCAGACCCAGCAAGAAATGTTGTGATAGATCCAGATGGTAGAGTCTGGGAGAAGGCAGCTATGGACCTTCCAGCTCAGTTCAGTATCAGTAGAGAATAGACAAAATCTTTGGCAGGACTACCCACACTTTTCTACAAAGATTCAATACATGGACTAACTGGAGGAACTGTTAAAAAACTCAGGTTGGCTGGCTATGTTTAAGGCAGGCAAGGTTACATTGAAACATCAACACACTTTAAAAAAATAATTAATTCTATTCTCATTTAGTGAATTCAAATATTGGAAACTTGGCATACCAAAACTTCCAGTGCTTCTAACTACCTTCAGTCCTTTTTTAGGGAAAGAGGAGAGGAAAGCTTTTGATATATACATGAATTATGGCAATAGTGACTTCATAGAGGCTTTCTCCTGTCTTTGGGCAGTCTTCGCAGTTGCAGAAAGAAAATCAAAAGTGATGGAACAATTTGTCTGCAATCTTTATATCCAGAAGGCAGCTAGTAATGTCAATGAGGCCAGGTTCTGAACATATTTTGCTTGTCAACCCCAAGTGAGCAGAGAATGCCTCTTACCCAAGATGCTCTGAATTTGTATACTGAGAGATCAAATTATCAAACAAAAATCCACAGATCTGCTACCAAGCAGTGGATTGAAGCACCACATCTCCATGGAAGTGGGTGAGAAATAAAAAACAATGAACTTGAAGTAAAGTTCATTGGATAGCAAAACATTTTAAGGGGCTAGGTCCTGTGTCATTCACATAAGTTGCAAGTGTAAAGCTTCTAAAATGTAATTCGAAAAGGTGGTGAGGTCATGGATATTAAAATTTTTGTCATGATTACTGATTATCTGCATTCACAGTGAAAATTGTCTGGCCCTATGAATCTTCTAGCGAAAGTGCTTTTCTAGAAGTCTTTTCCCTTATCAGGTGAGTGACTATTGTTACATTTAAAAAAAAAAGAACCATTTTTACATTGTATTTTTGAAGAAATTAAGACAGATTTTATTGAGGGGATATTTGGTTTCAAACTCTGCCAGAAAGAGTTAGAAAAGACTTCGGCTTGTTTAAGGAAGAAATTCTTAATTCCTTCCAACAGACACAGCAGATGAAGCTACAAAAAACTGTAGAGCTGTTTCACCAAAAACAGGGAGAAACAGAGACTGCTGTAGATTTTCTCACAAGGATGAGGAAACTAGGAAGGAACACAACGCCAGATGACAATAGCCTAATTTGTGCCTGCATCAATGGACTCGGACCTGAAATCCTGCCCTTCATAATACAAAAACAGGTACAGACAATGGCTGAACTTCACCAAGCAGCAGCCTTGGTAGAAGAGGTTGACTTTCAACTGAAACACTTCCAGGAGTGCCACCACAACCACGAAGGCTTGACCCAGGCCATGGAAGTTGAGGGTGCCTTTGTTTTATACAGTCATTCCATGGAACTTTATTGGTTACGCTACAATCAATTTGTAGGGGATGGGGACAGCTCAGCCTTCCAGAGTGTCCATTTACAGCAGCCCTATGGTCCGGACATTGAGATTACTAAAGAAGATTGCACAGGCCATATCCAGAAGAGAATGAGCACTAGACTTTGGCCCTTAGTTGCCAGAAATAAAGGTAATTATAGTGAAAATACATTGAAGTAAAAAGTACATTTGTACAGGATTGACTTATCTTCAATGCTATATCTGCTTTTAAATTAGTTATTGCTTAAACTTTGCAAACATAACTTTATCCACGGCTCCATGATATGTTGTTTTACCTCTCTGTGATAAGTGAAATTTGCAATCTGCTTCTTAACCAAAAAAGCCACTCTGTAAATTTCAAGTAAGACAAAAATACAGTTGGACAGTTATGGGATATGTCATGTGCCTGACAGTAACGGCAACAGCAACGACGCAGATAGACAGACCAATGAGAATACATACAAACACTAACAAAGACCTACATTTACATAAAATATTTTGATAAATAGGGTTATAGTTCTTATATTTTTTAGATAATATTACAGATGAAGTTACAGAAACAAGTACACCCCTTGTAACATGCTTGCAACCAGAAGACTTGTTGCAGTATATATCAGATAAGTACAAAGACAGAATATTATGTTTTGCTCCATCAGAAAATCAACATCCTGAATCTTCATTGTTAGGCCCTATCTATTAACACCATTTTTAAATCCAAATGGAACAAGTCAGACACGCATGTAAAGGACACAACACTAGGTAGACCTACATCCTGCCACATTCTCTCTATGTGTTTTTTGGTCAAAACTTATATCATGTACCTATGTCAGAGGATAAGATAATTTTAAGGTACATGTATATATGCATAAGCTGAGGACAGTCACACAATAATATATCTATTTTGTTTGCAAGTATAGAATGTATCTTGTTCCTTGTTATTTTTTTCTTAAACTATCATTACAAAAAATCCAAGCAAACAACTCAAATATCCTCTGCAAACATATATGACTGTAAAACATGGTAAATAAACAGTATGGTTCACCATGATCCAACATGCAACAAAGGAAGAAAGAATATTCTAAATATTCGTAATAATAATTACATAGTTGATTATGCATATACACGTAGGGAATATTGGCAAACAAATGTCAAGTTATTACTGTGAACATCACTTTTTCCAGGTGCTTCTGAAATCAACTGGTACCAGGGGAAGTTTGTATGGAGTTAAAGCCATGTTGGAAGTCTTCTGGTGACATCTCCAGACATCTTCATGACCACAAGTGGCTGACTGGGAACAGTGGATTTGTGATGGGACACACATTATCTTAAAGGGATAACAACTGTTCATATAAGACTAATCTTTTATAATAAATCCACTGAAACAATACACAGAATTGAATGTAGGAATGGATTCATTAACCATAGGTATAAGTATGGGAAAATTGTCGTTTGCCCCAAGAAAATCTGTTTTTTGACCAAAATGAACAGTTGTTATCCCTTTTATAATTGAAGAAACTAATTGTAAGAAAATTCCAAATCATGGTGTACTAGCTGACAAGTGTCCCACCTACTTTGGTGACTGGACTGTGAAAAAAATTCAAATGTACTTACATTGTGGGGGCTACTGGTGACAGCTTTGACTTCTGAGACTGACACTATTCCCAGACTGAAAGAAATAAAAAAAACACAATGTTAACTTTGCCTAACCTGTTTCAATATTTGAGATACTTGTACATGTTACAGCAGTAAAAAAGTCTGATATCTGAGCTTGTCTTTAGACCATATGACCTCCATTGATGGCTATACTCTGTTAAAATCTCTTAAGAGATTTTAACAAAAAAACACTTTTTAGAAAAAAAAACAGGGACTAACTTTGAATGTAAAACTGGATTCATTAACCATTTGTAAGTGTGGGAAAATTGTTGTTTACTCCAGGAAAATTCAATTTTTGGCAGAAACGAAGAGTTATTATCCCTTTAAGCTATATTAGGCAGATCAATTGGCTGTAACTACTTGAAGTGCACTTTTGTGATGTAATGTGAGGAAAGTGGGAAAATTACAGTAACTTGTCAACAAAACAAAAATTACTTAAACCCAAAAGAAACACAAGAGGTGATTACTGGTGATTTTTTTCTTCTTGGAGAAAGGGAAGGAGACCATGCAATTACCTCGTTACCATGGTTTCCCATTTCTGGCTTTTCACATTCCATTTATCATAAAACTTGCCACATTTCATGTTTTGTACATGAGCATGACTTTAGCATTCTTCACATGAATATTTACTGCAAGTTTTTCTATCAGAGGTATCGAATGATTCAATCTATTATAAGCTTCCATGTTTTTGTTATATGTTTTGTTATATGATATTATGACTAGCAACCCAAACTTGCCATCATGTTTAATTACATGAAAGACACATTAAAATGACGAATTATGCATACACAGAGGCCATTGCAACTAGTTTGTATTGCCGCAAATAATACCTTAGAAAACAAATGGTGATTTCGCTATTAGCGCACGGTCGCAATTTGCGAGGCTTTTGAGATATGGGATAGCGAGGAATTGCCATGCTTGCGCCCGCTCACCATAAGCAAAGCTTTCGAGATACGGGGCCCTGTTGTAACTTGTAGAAGTTATATACTAGTGCAAAAATTACAGATTCTTCTATTGAACTTACATTTATAAAAATTTTAATTAATTAAAACTTGGACCTAACTAGAGAAGGACAAGTAACGCGGAGAAAGATCAAAGGATAATCGGCTTAGCGCGAGCTCTTCGCGAAACGATGTGCGTTCGGATCACGTGACCTCCCGTACAGGTAGCGAGCATATCGCGGCTGTTGATGACTTTTTGTGTCATTTGGACAGGTAGCTGATGATAACGCGAGGAAAACGTTCGGGTGGATGAGTCAAGACACTTATAGAGATAAAATGTAAGTACAATTTCTTTTGCTATTTTGGATGCTAGATGAGAATAAGGTATGTTTGTTCATGGAGGAATTCAAAATGCCCAATATGGTGCAGGCAATCGTGTTTGTTGCCGTAAAATGAGTGTTTAAAATTGTACAACTGCAGTGTCGAATACTTGTCTTTAGCTATGATCCGATAGAAAAATATTTCTAGTCTCGAAATTATACCTCTATGTAAA